CATCAGGTGTAGACATGGCTTCTGTGTATGATCTCGGCTCATTCTCTGTGAGAAATACCATTAAGAAATCATCACCAAAAGATTTTTCCTTGCGTGCTCTCTTGCTACGTCTAGGTTCATCTTCTTCATCTTCTGTTTCATCAACTGAAATTCCAGAAGTGCTCTCCTCATTTACAGAGATGCTAGCGTCTCTTTCATCATGAGTACGTTTCTTACTTTGTTTCTCTTTGCATGGAAAAATGTTTTCAAAGAAAGACACATTCCTAGATTCCATTATCGTGTTGACATGGATGTCTTGTACATCTGACTTATGTACAAGGAATCGATAAGCACTACTATTATGTGCATATCCGATGAAGATGCAATCAACCGTTTTAGGCCCAATTGTCAGCTTCTTAGGAGGTGGCACAGCGACTTTTGCTAAGCACCCCCACACTTTGAGGTATTTGTACGAAGGTACAGTTCCTTTCTAAAGTTCATATGGCGTTTTGCCAGTAATCTTGTGTGGAATTTTGTTGAGGATGTAGTTTGTGGTGAGAAGCGCTTCCCCCCCACAGATTCTGGGGTGTCCCAAATTCCTGCAACATTGCATTCATCATCTCTTTCAGAGTGCGATTCTTTCTCTCTGCAACTCCGTTAGATTCTGGTGAGTAGGGAGCGGTTGTTTGATGTATGATGCCTTTTTCTTGACAAAAAGCGTTGAAAGGTCCATCATACTCGCCTCATCTATCACTTCTAACCATCTTAATGGTTTTTCCCAGTTGGTTTTCAACTTCGAGCTTGTACTCTTTGAATTTGTCCAAGACATCGTCTTTACTTCGCAATAAGTAAACGTACCAATATCTTGTGCAATCATCAATGAAAGTCACGAAGTACTTCTTACCACCCCTTGTTTGTATATATTTTAAATCGCACAGATCAGTGTGGATTAAGCCAAGAGGTTCGGTTGTTCTTTCAACATGAGGAGATGGTGTTTTTGTGAGTTTTGATTGTACACAAACTTCACATTTGTCTTTGCTAATTTTGCATTTGGAGATTAAGTTCGAATTCATCAGCCTTTGTACAGACTTATAATTCACATGTCCTAATCTTTCATGCCAAATATTAGAAGACTCAACCAAATAAGCAACTGGTTTCTTATTCTTATCATTTTTGGTCGTTTTTATTGAGGATGGTCATTACACACATTTTGACCAATCCTTCCTTAACAAATCCTTTTCCAATGAAAACACAATTCTTCCTAAGAATCAGCTAGTCAAATTTGAAATTGATTGCAAATTTGTGCTTGCTAAGCAACTGGTTTCTTATTCTTTTATTCTTCTTGTCTGTTTTTTTTCCTGCATCTCACGTGATAAGATCCTAGCGTAAATAGGCCTTTGTAACCCAACAGGCCCTGTTCTTGATTAATATACAATCCTGGTTGATGATTCATGACCATGCGATCAGAGCGTGATTAACGGCGACGATCAACTCCAGATGTATTGGACGCTGTAGAGGATCGTTACTCGGTTCGGTTTAATCTTAATCGGGGTGGTTGCACGGCGGTCTGACAGGTTACCTTTTTTTTCTTTTTTTCTTATTGTCCGTTTTTTTTTCCTGCATGTAAATTTCCGAAGCTTACTTATTTCTCACAGAAACGTGGTGACGAAGTAAAATTAAACTAGATTCCTACACTCTTCTTTCATTGTTTCCATGCAACGTGCGTATAAAATATGGCATAAGGGAACTGTGATATTTTGTTATTTGACTGTTTAACATGTTCGACGAAATGTCTACGAGAGAGAGAGAGTCGTTCCCTGTTGAACACGTGATAAGACCCTAGCGTAAATGAGCCTTTGTAACCCAACAGGCTCTGTTCTTGATTAATATACAACCAATTGGTTATTCATCGATTTGACATCCCACACCGATCACGAAAACGAACAACAGAACCAATTAAAATCTTTTCAAGAAATGCCATTATCGTTTTTTTTTAAGAAATCATACGCGAGTACTGTTTGTATATACTTATATATTATTATAATCTTTATAAATCTCTGTTGTTTGTATATACATATGTATTATTTTTGTTTGGTTATAATTTAATCAATAGTTAATTTTTTCCTTCTTCCATGGTTTAGAGCAATGTAATGAGGATTCCAAGTTGCACAAAAGTTCATTTAGCTTCGCAACAAATCCGGTTCACATCATGCTGCCCCATTAGTGTGGCCCGCCAAAAAAGGCAAATCCATAAAATTATTTAATTATATGAAATGAAAAATTCATATCCTAATTCCTTTTGCCATTTTCTTATTCAAATTGAATCAACACCCATCATATGTACTCAAAAATTTGAGCTGATTTTAAATCTCTCAACTAGGACATCGACGGTTTAAGTCCATACTAATCATCATAACATGTGAAAGAACCGATTTTTTTTAATGCGGTTAAGACTTTTTTTGGTTCATAATTTTGAATGCGGTTAATCTTTTACATGTTCTAAAGTTTCAACTCGTCCGGATGTTTATGTTGCAGTTAAAGTCTACGTAATCAAAGCATATAACCCAATAACATTAGTCTCATATATTTATTTTGGTATTAACTTACTTTTCATTAAAATACAAACAAAAAATGAATCTATGTGGGAAAAATCAACAAAAAGTAACTTTTAAATACCCAACGAAACCAAAAGCATAGTCTCTTTTTCCCACTTCATTGTTTGATTAATAAAACCGTAATACACCAAAAGTTAGGTCCAAAGCAAGAACATCATGCATCATGATGAACAATTTTCAGAAAGTATTTCAAAAGGAGTGAAGAAGATTATAAATCGCACACTACCAAAGTCCATGGGGTCGTTTCCTATAAGATTAGTTTATTTATGAACCAAAAAGCATATATACTATAATAACAAGTCTTCAAAAAAAAAAAAATCCATAAATCAATTAATAAAACTAATATCTTGCATTGTTTGCTCTTATCACACAATAATATGCGTTGAGAACTGAGAATATACATACAGTACGTAGAAGAGGCTGAAAGTTAATTTGCATCTTAGAGCTATGTATTTTCTATTATGTGTATTTGATAAAAAAAAAATGTACTTCTAGGGCTATTTTACAAGAGAAAAACCTATTATAGAGTATGGAATGGATCATCCAAGATCCATTACTTTTTGAGTATATGAATTATCTCTTCGACTAAAATTTGTATGATTTAATAATCATATCTAAGAGAGTGATAAAACCCTTTATTATAAATGAAACTGTGACATCTAAAGAAATTTGGATGCATACACGAGTTGCTCTATCTTTCCTTAGCGTAAAAGGAACGGCTACATAAAGACACAAAAAGCCCCTATGAAATGATTGAGATGCTTCCATGGTTTTTTTTCCTTCTTTTTCTCTCTATTTTAAATTTTCCCCCCTCTAAAAAAGCCAATTATTGATTCCTCATGTCTTTCGACAAATTTTCTAGACTAATTATCTGATAATATTTTATTTTATTTACAATTTACACATCGCCATCTGCTAGTTTTAATTTGAATGATGATAGATACCAATGAAAACCACTTAAATCTTGGTGAATCTCAAACAAACAAAAACCTAAAAAGCCAATTTATATTAACCTAGAAAACCTAGTTAGACTAAATTAAGAAAAAAAAAAACACCTACTTAATGCAATTCTGTAGTAGGATGTTCTAGTTAATTTATATAATAAAGTAGACATTATCCAATTATTATAATGTGAAAAGGCTGCTTTTTGTGGAAGGAAAAAATCTAAGCTTTGCATAGGATGGTACTTTTTCAAGCAATTTGGAGGCGTTGATTCTTGTACTTGTATTTTATTTAATAGCATATTATTCTAGAATACAAAAATAATACGTGGCTTGTCTCTCATGTAAATACTACAAACCGAGCAAGAGACCGTACGTGTATAACGGTATAGATTCAGACAAAAAAGGATTTCGGACCCGTGGTTCATTCACATATACCATAATTAATTAGTGTGAATATTCACATGAACAAAAAGTAACTATTGTATCATTTTTTGGGGGTAGTATATCATTGCGGTGGAAGGCTTAGACAAAACTTTCTTTGAAAATTTCAGAACGTGTCTTATTTAAAGAGACTAATAAAAGACCAGCTAATCTACTTGTATCTGTCTTGAACAGAGAAAACTTACTTATTTGTCAAAAGGAAAAGAAGATAATAAGTCAAAATAAAAGACAAATGGACCTCAGACTCAGAATAAAAAAAATATATTCAAAATCTAAACCTGCTTGGCTGCTTTATTGAAAAAAAAAACTCTAAGCCTTTGAAACATAACATAGACTCACATGAAACATATTTAGCTTCTTGAAAGACCAAATATTTCTGCTGAATTGTTTTTTCGTATCATTTCTACAAATGTGATTCAACTAGCAAAATGATCGAAAGTTCGAAACTAATAAAATAACTCGGTCTTATGCTTCTATATATTTTACAAACTCTAAGGTCCTTTAGGGACTTATACCTCTTTCTTCATGATATTTTGTCTTTTTTTACCATGCATAAAATACTGAAAAACCCTAATCCTTTGAAATTAAAGATAAACACAAAAGGTGCAAGATTTGATTTTTCTCGGCGTTTCAAAGTCTCACGATATGTTATGTAACTTCATAGATAATTTGGTGTTAACTTTCCTTAACTAATCAAGCATGTATAATCATATAAGTAACGAAAACGTTCACGCAAATATTAAAAAAAAAAGAAAAGAGACAGCAAGAAAACAAAAAAAGTCCATTGATCTGTTAATCCAATGGTCAATAATTTCACACCTTCACAACTCACAAGTCACAAGCAACATCAAAGTCAAAAAAGCATTACTAAAGACACAAACATATAATTGCCGGTTAAGTGCTTATAGCTTTCTAACACTTCTCTTTATATTAACCCCTTCACCTTCTCTCCTTTCTTCATCCTTCTTCTTCTTCTTCTCCTCCTTCTCCATCATCATCCTCCTCTCTCCCTCTCTTCAAAATGTCTCAAATCTCCGAAACTTCTCCAAAACACTGCGCCAAGAAAGGAGGGATTAATATCAACAACCGTCGCAAGAAACTATTTTTCACATTCTCAACATTCTTCAGCGGCCTTCTCCTCATCATCTTCCTCATCTGGCTCATCCTCCATCCGGCAAAACCCGAATTCTCCCTCACGGAAGCTGATATCTACACCCTCAATCTCTCCTCGTCCACAACTCATCTCCTCAACTCCTCAATCCAACTCACTCTCTTCTCCAAAAACCCTAACAAAAAAGTCGGAATCTACTATGATAAGCTACTCGTATACGCAGCATATAGAGGACAACAAATAACATCAGAAGCTTCTCTACCGCCATTTTATCAATCACATGAAGAAATCAATCTTCTGACAGCGTTTCTTCAAGGGAGTGAGCTACCCGTTTCTCAGTCCCTTGGTTATCAAATCAGTCGTGATCGGTCAGGCGGTAAAGTAATCATCGGTTTGAAGATGGACGGGAAGCTACGGTGGAAGATCGGGACATTTGTCTCTGGCGCATACCGGTTTAATGTGAATTGTGTTGCAATTGTAGCTTTTGGACCGAACATGACCACTTCTCCATTAGCTTCAATACAAGGGACTCGTTGCTCTACAGATATATGAGACATATAGATTAATAAACCATATATTATAATGTTTCTTCACTTGTAAAGCTATATTAAACTGTTTATATAGAATTATATAGCCGTACTCTTCGCCGATGTATAATTCCAAAACAGAGCATATCTTTGGTTAAAAGCAGAGGATTGAAATGGCTATACACGATTAAGAAAAAAGGTGAAGAAGGGAAAAATAGGCAGGAGGAGAAAAATGTTTTTGCCCTATTGGCGAAGAAATTCACCTGATTATTTTCCCCACTCTTCTTTAATAATTCATCTTTTTCTAGCTCTACGCATAAAAGATTTGAGATTGTTGGGTCCATATATATTGTGTGTGTTTCTTAAAATCCATTTACTTTTTTTTTGTAGTACATTTACTCTACTTTCTGGAAGAATCAAGTAAAGTTATTTTCTCCCTCCTGTGTTGTAGTTTATAGGAGTATGTTTTTTCAACAGATACGAGGAATCAGAACAAGAGATTCATGGATTCATTAAGACTCGAATATCCAAGAATATTGCAACTGAAAGAAGGGTGTTCTTCTTGCAAGAATATATTCTATGTTCGTTAATTATTCTTTTTTCTTTTTTTTTTGCGACAACCTTTATAAAACAGTTCATGAAAGTTTTATTTTTCTTCTGAATTAGACAAGAATCTACGAAAGCTAGACGCAATGATATGAAATTCTACATATGGCATAACAATTTATTTTTACCAATATAAAGTCAGACAAAACTAAAATGGATGGATTATGAGAACAAAAATGGACAGAATGTCATTTACAACTATCAAACATTAGATTTTCTTCCAAGCTACGAAGATGGAGAAACCCTATTGGCCCAAAATATCAAATCAGTATCATCACTACATGGGCTAAGACAGTAAGACATGCATTTAGTGCGTTCTTCTCTTGTCTTGCAGCGAGCGTGAACATTAAGAATCGTAGAAAAAACTTTAGGGCGCGAGATGAAAGGAAACTGTAAATATAGGGGTTAAAATGTAAAACGTCGCTGAAGAAACTTGCCCGACCAAAAATTTAGGCCTTTTCACTTCTCCACCGATAGAAAATCTGAAACAAATGAGCCACTGAAGTTGAGGCCAAAAGGAGATTCTTTGGCCGGAAAATATCAACGCGATTCGCTTATCAACTCTATTACAATTCTTCAGAAGCCGTTTAGTTGGTAACCTCTCTTTCTCTCTCTCGCCTAGAGTCAAAGAACAAATTTTCTCTTTCGTGAATCTATTGTTCGATTCTGATACAATTTGTTTTTTTTACTTTGAAAATCTTTCGAAATACTGCGAAGATGTACTCGATTCTTCATTCGGAAAATGTTTTCTAAAGTATTTTTATTCGGATTAGGGTTTTCCAGGCAGAGTAAATGGATGAAGAAACAGCGAAACGTGTTCGTGATGACGTAGATAGGCTGAGCGATTTGCCAGATAACTTGCTATGTCAGGTTCTCTTGAACATTCCGACAAAAGATGTTGTAAAGAGCTCGGTCTTGTCCAAAAGATGGAGAAATCTCTGGAGACTTGTACCTGGTTTGAGCTTGGAACCTGGTGATTTCCCTGAGTACGAGGCTTATGTGGGTTTCGTCGATAGCTTTCTGGGTTTCAACAGCGAATCGCAGCTGCAAAAATTCAAGCTAAAAGACAAAACTTTAGATACAAAGTACGACTGGGAATGGGATGACTTCCATGGCGATGATGTCGCTCGGTGGATCAACGCGGTGGTTAATCGGAAACTTCAACATCTCTTTTTCACAGACAGCACAGGGGAAGTGGAAAAAGAAGCAGAGATACCTTCGACGGTTTACAATTGCGAGAGCTTAGTATCCTTAAAGCTTTGTTCCGTAAGCTTGGCAAGTCCCAAGTCTGTTTCTTTATCTTGTGTCAAAGTCATGAAACTGACCAGTGTTAAGTTTGTCAGCGACTGGGCTTTCGAAATGCTCATCTTAGGCTGCCCAGTTCTCGAGAGCTTAACTATAGACAGGAGTCCTCACGACAATGTGAAAGTCTTGCGTGTGTGCTCTCAGTCTATGTTGAGCTTCACTCATATGGGTCACGGTGTCAATTTTGTTGAGGAAGAGCTTGTAGTTGTAGTTGATGCTCCTAAGCTTGGGAAGCTAGAGAATTTTGATCAAGAAACTGATAGTTTCATAGTGAACAATCTTGGTTCACTTGTTAAGGTGGATGTGTGTATTGCGTTTAACCTGTCTTCTGAAAAGAGGTTCGATCCTAATGATCTACCAAAGAGAAACATGATCCGAAGTTTTCTTGTGGGAATCTCTAGTGTTAAAGACATGAACATCACTTCGGATACTCTTGAGGTAACCTATATATATGCCTAAGTTTTTTCATATAATCATCTCTCAAATACTTTTTTTTTTCTTTTCTTGCAGGTCATCTATAATTACTCGAAATGTGAACGAGTACCATTGTTACGTAACATAACTTCGTTGAGTGCTCGCTTCATCGACTACAGGTGGGAATTGTTGCCGGTCTTTCTTGAGAGCTGCCCGAATCTGAAATCTGTCTCCTTGGTTAGGATTGATGTATTGGAAACCATAAACTTCCTTTTTGTTATTGTGAAATGCAAAATAGGTGAAAGTATATTTACATAACTCAACTTGTTTTCTTTTTGTTCCTACTTGCAGGGATTTTGTAAATCTCGAGGGGAGCAGCCAGAAAGTATTTCACTTGGACCTCATTGCTTCCTACAGAGACTCGAGTATGTTGAGATAGTAAAGCCTATAGTAGATGACGAGGCGGAGATGGGATTGGTTAGTTACTTTCTGGAGAACTCAACAATCCTTAAGAAACTAACTCTGTTCTTGCATCCTTCCAGAAAGAATCAAGAATCTCTCTTCCTCAGGAATCTCCTTACAATCCCAAGACTCTCTAGCTCATGCCAAGTTGTGGTTTCTGATTATCATTTTTAGTGACCTCGGTATTGTAAAAGTATATGCTTTTGCTTCATCGTTTTGTGATGCTTTTTGGTATTTCAGATTCTCTTGAATCTTCCCACGAAATTGCTCTGTAAACGTGGTTTAAGTTCTCTGTGATATTATTGTATTGGGAAGTATTGGTTTCATCACTTGTCTATTCAGAATTCTAGATTTTTCATTTTGATTAAGAATGTAACATACAATTTTCATTAGTTAATGAAACCAATTAACTTGTCCAAACTCTAGAAGATAACCAAAACAAATCAAAATAGGTCAACTTGCAATTAGTTTTTAGTGATCAACAATAATCATTCAAACATTATTAAGTAGGTTTCATCATGATATACCACGAAGTACTAGACAAGCCATATGTTTTAAGATCAAAAAGTCGGTCCGAAATTAGTGTGCAAGAACGACCCATGATGCACACGTGTTAACATCCTCAAGACTTCACCTCGAATTTTCTTTTGCTCATTAAGATTTTGATTGATCCGAATCTGTTACATTCCCACCAACTTTATCACCATCCACTCCATATTAAACACAACCCATGCTTTTAATAATTGAAGGATCTTTGTGTTTGTATAATAATAAGGTGTGAATCTCACAGCTTGTCTCTAAATCAGAATATCTGCTTCCAAAGAACGATACACACACGAAAATAATGAAGAAGAGACTACTAAGCTTGAAGCAATTCTTGATAACTCTCTCCGATGCATGTTTGTGCGTAAAACATATTGAGAGTAACAAGATTCAAAATTCTAACGTAGAGATCAAGAATAAATCTGTATGTCCCGAGGATGGTTCGGTGTCTGAAGAGAAGGCTATCGCAGGAAGAATGAGAATCAAGGTGATAATAACTAGAAAACAACTGCATCGCTTGTTGGAGGCGAAGCAGGTTTTGATGAGTCAGAGAATGTTTCTCAGATCTTTCGACGACAATAAGTGGGAACCAGTTCTTGAATCTATCCATGAAACACATGAATTGTAAGGATTTAGTGTGTTTAGATGTTTCTCTATATTATTTCTGCAGCTGATGGTCTTGTACTATGAACAAAATGCTGGTTATAACTTATATAAATGGTGATTTTGCCTTTATATGTATGATAAAAGCTACACAATCAAAGAGAGGTATATTATTTTATGTTTCGAAGAAAAAAAAACCATAACAAACAAAGATTAACTTTAAGACCTTACCGCCTCAAAAGCGTACAGGTTTTTCTTTTATGCTACTCTTGAATCAATCCTCAAGGTTCTTTCTTTTAGTACCACAAATGACTTTACCCGCAGCAAGATCTTGTTTCTTCTTCTCCATCTTCAAGATATCTTCATATTGCACACAGTGAAATATGAGCTCATGAGTCGACCATTTCTTTTGCCCAAACCTACAAATCTTCTTAAGAGGATCATACTCCGAGGGAAGGCTATTGAGTAACAAGCCCGCTACGACATCATCGGGAATATCCATCCCGAGTTTCTTCAACTTAGCTGCAACAGTCATCTTCTTCATAATATACTCTCTAACACTCTCGTTATCTTCTTTCCTCATCGATGACAAATCGGCTATAACCACACTCGTCTCTGTCTTCTCGTTCCTCGGGTAGCACTTCTCGACCGCGGCTAGATATTCTTTGGCTGTTGTAACGTCCTCAGGGACGACGCCTCTGAGTTCTTGCGGGATCCGGATTCTCATTATCATCATGCTCATGCGGTTCGAACGGTCCCATTGCTTGGTTTCATCAATGTGCTTAGAAGCATCAGGACGCTCTTCCATGAGCGAAACATCAAGATCCATGAGGGTAAGCACAAGTAGAAGATGTTCTTTCCATTCAGAAAAGTTTGTCCCGTTTAGCATCGGGATCGACTCGACATTGGAAAACGCAGATTTCAATCCCAACACTGAAAATGAGGAATTAAAGATTGTGTCACATATATGATTAGCAAATTCGTGAGTACAATTACTAAAAGAAATTGACAAAAAAAATACTATAGAATGTAAGAGCAACATTCAATAAATGCTTAAACATTCTGACAAAATTGAAGTAAAAAACCATCGTCTTCAAATTAGGGTTCGTGGATTATATGAGGTAGTCTCCAAGGTTACATGAAAATTCTATGTGAATGAAGCAAAATATAATATATTGGACTAAGATATGGTTTTCTCCAAATTCAAACAACCACTTAACCAAAATATGGAATCAAACTTGAAAAAGATATTGAATGTGAGTCCTAATTTTCTACCATAGAATGTGAGAGAGAAACTCTGTAATGGATTAAACATTCAGACAAAAACGAAGTTTAAAACCATTACAAAGATTCACTCGTCTTCAAATTAGGGTTTGAGGATTATAAAATGCAGTCTCTAAGGTTACATAAAATTCTAAGTGAATGAAGCAAGATATAATCTAATAGACCAAAGCATGGTTTTCTCCAAATTCGAACAACAACGTAACCAAAATATGGAATCTAACTACAGATAGAATCGTCAGATATCAAAGCAAAATCAAGAGTTTAGTGACCATACAAAACGGAAATCATCAAAGTCACAAAATACCCTAATCGTTGCGCTCACGCTTAGGGTTTTGGTGATCCCATTACAGAATCGAAAGATTCTTACACAATTGATTGATTGGCCATAAAGTTGACAGGCATTTCTCATAAGATCAACACAAATTCAGAAGAAGAACATGATTAACAGATCAAAGGGGCACGGATCCGAAAGAAAGATTAACCTCCATTGTTAACCCTTCGTCAAAAAAAAAAATTTAACCTCCATGGTTTATAATATTTTGTGAGGGAAAGACAAATCGCTTCGAATCAGCAAAAACCGTAAACCCTAATTATAAAGATCATATCGAAGACATAGAGTACTAACCTGGAATCATGATTGCGTAGTTTAGCGGTATTGTGGATTCCTGATTGAAGGTTAACCCTAATTACTGCGAAGTTTGGGGTATCTCCACACTACTTCGAATATGATGGTAACAAGATCTGTAATTTTTTTTTTTGTAACGCCTTATTTTATTAGACCATCTGCATTGGTGAGAGACTCAAATAAGTCTCTCAACAATTTAATAATAATAATTTTAATATAATTTAATTGTATTAATTAATTTTAATTTTAAAATAAAGTTTAAACCAATTACATAAAGAGAACACATAAGGTGAGTATCTCATCATCTCTCATTTGAGAGACTCTCTCCATTCTCTCTCTTCTCTTAAGGGGGTGGTATTGGATTGTTGAATTAGATAGAATGTACAAGAATTCAAAAATAATTGATTTCTAAGTAATTCAAAGTGTTTTGTTGGAATTTAAACCAATTCTATTAAAATCAGAGTAAAAATGGTAGGAATTGGTTCTTTACAATTTTTATGTAAGATTCTATTAAATTCCTTCCAAATGATAATAGAATCAAAGCTATTACAAATTTGAATAACACAGATATTTAATAGAATTGGAGAATTAGTATATTGAATAACAATGGTATTTAAATAATTTTGAAAGAATGAATAGAAATCCTTAATCCAATAACACAGATATTTAAAAGAATTGATAATATATATAATTGAATATCAATGGTATTTAATGGAATTTTCAATTCCCTACAATTCCATCCAATTTCTGAATCCAATTACAGTGGTAAAAGAATTGATAATATAATATTTTTATTTATTTTGAGAGACTTGGTGAGAGACTACCAATGCAGGTGCTCTTAATGCAACTATAGGATCCCTTCGGGGTTAATCTGTAGTATATTAAAATTTAATTGAAATTTATTTAAAATAATTATAAGTAAAATATAAAATATAATAATAAATAATGTAAACATCCAAAACAATTTATTAATTTTTAAAAGAAAAAAAATTTAATTTTTTATGTTTTTTTAAATTAATAATAATAAGTTCTAAATGGAAATGTACAAATTAATTATAGTAAAAATATGTAAATTTTTACAAAAGTTTCTAGAATTGTTATTATAGATAGATTAATAGAAAAAAATAAAAAACTGAAAGTAATAAGATATACAAATTTTCAAGGCATTTTTTATAGTGTTAACCAAAAATATATATAAAATATATAATATAAAAATATGATATAAATAAGCAATCATTTAAACTATTTTATATAATTATTAAAATTATGTATTCGCACAAAAATGTAAAGCAAAAAATCAATATAGAAGCAATCTTTCAAAAATTGTTTATATAAAACTTTATATTTACTATAGAAAAGTTAGAAACAAAGAATTGTGATTAAATTTTGACATTTTTAAAAAATATTAAAAGAAATAGAAATAATAAAAAATGATGTAACAAGATTTTATAATACATTTTCATAGACTACTATAGTTTCTAAAAAATATTCGCAATATTAGAAGGTACATTACTACAAATATATTAGTTAAATATAGAAATAAAAAAATTAATACCTTAGAAATACACATATAAAATATATGTGAAATTGTTACTTTTAAAAAAATATTTTTCTGAAATTAGAAAAAAGAATCCAAACATTAGATATCTTAAATTTATAAACAACTAACAAAGAATATTAAAATTTGAAAATAACACAATTAACTATAAATATATAGACGTTTTTCATTAAAAAAATAATATATAGTGGTAAAAAAAACATATATAACTTCTTTATAATAAAAATATCATAGACCATTTGCACTTTGAAAAATTGTGTTGTTTCAAAATTTGTGGTTGCATATTTTATTATAAATGGTTGCATCTTTTCATTATAAATAGTTATATTTTTTCATCACAACTATTATTTGTGTCTTTTCAAAACTATTTATATTGCTCAAAACAGAGAAAAAACCATTTGGGTCTAACTTTTACTTTTTTACTATAGTGGATTTATTATTACAATAAACTGTAACATAATGAAAATTTGTTATGTCAACATTATTTTCTATGAAATATAATCTAATAATTCAAAGGTTGTGTTTTGATAGGTTATTTTCATTTTGATAAGTTGTATGGTT